GGGGCCTTGTCTGATCTTCCTTAGGTGAGTGGCGGCGGGGGGGGGGGCAGAAGCAGCAGCGGCGGCGGCAGGGGCAGAAGCAGCAGCGGCAGCGGCAGCGGTGGGGGGGCAGAAGCAGCAGCGGCGGCGGCGGTGGCAGAAGCAGCAGCGGCGGCGGCGGCGGGGGGCAGAAGCAGCAGCGGCGGTGGCGGGGGCAGAAGCAGCAGTGGCGGCGGCGGGGGCAGAAGCCGCAGCGATAGCGGCAGCGGCGGCAACAGCAGGAGGTGGCGGGGCGGGACTTTTGGGCTGCGGCTGCCCGCCTTTTCTGTTACTCGCCTCGCCCCGCCTCGCGCCTGCCTCCCCTCCTCCTCCTCGCTGGATCTTTCATGAAGGTTGGGGTGGGCGTTGGGCCGCATTATGAGGCGACCTGGGCCGCATGCGGCCCGTGGGCTGGACAAGCCTGGTCTAGGCCATACATAGCATATAGCGTCAACCAATTAGCCAGGTTTTAACGCTGAGCCTACTGAAAGACACTGGCAAGCTGCTAAGCGTGTGTTGAGATATCTTAAACAAACAATGCATTATGCATTATATTTGGAGCCTAAGGATGAACTAAGTTTAACTGCATAATTGGATGGAGGTCTATTCGACAACATCATTGTCTCTATTATGTACAGATTTAGTTTGTTAAAAACAACTATTGATAGATATGGGAATTAATGTAAAAGAACCTATTGTTGTATATGAATTGGTAATTCAGATGGCTTCCAATCTCGCTGTAAAGGCAAGATCAAAACATACGAATCTACGATATCTGAATGTGAGACAGTATGTTCAAAGTAAAATGATTAAACTGGAGTACTGCATGTCAGAAAATAACATTGCAGATCATTTTACAAAAGCCCAAGGCACTGTAAAACATAAGGCTTGCTGTGAGGAATATAAACTTAAACTGTAAGGTTTTATATATTGTCCTACCCAAAGGGGAGAATGTTAGGAATGATAGTCACCTAACAGTTGGGTTGGCAATATATAAAACAGGATAGTCATTTAATACTGTTATATCTTTAAGAGAATGTTGTAATTGTGATTGGCTGAGGTTCCTCCAACGGCCATAAGATGGAGCCAGAAACGTGGTTTGTTCTTTTTTGCATTTCCTTTGCTTTCCTTTTGCCTTTTGCCTGATCGTCATTCTGCTTGAATTACTGTGAGTCTTACAACTATTCGCAAACTCTGTTGACTGAACTTTGTTTATGATACTGGTAAAGAAAAGGACTCCATTTTTGGATTATCCCTGGACTGATTATTTTGAATACTAACTCCTTTAACTGCATATGATTTGGACTGTTTGTTGGAGTTTGTTTACCCGTTTACAGGAAGTAAAACTTACATTTTACTATTCAGTGTATCTGTGTGCTGGTTGTGTGTTATTCATCACCACTCTCATTATGTTTCCCTGAGTGCACTCATTCTCCTAACGGGAAATACCTTAACACAGATCCTATCCTATGCCTTAGTGGATGGGTTTAGGAAGCAATTCTGAAGAGCTGAAGCAAACTGTGGTGGCACATCTTAAGCTCCAAACTGATAAATCAAAAAGAAGATGCAACATTTTTCAACTGTTCTTAAAGAAGTCAAAAATGAAAATGTCCAACTTGTAATATGTCTTTTAACATTAGCCTCTGGATTAGAGGATTAGAAGTGGCCAATAACTACTCAAAAAAAGTGAATCAGGGAAATTACAACTGGTATTATCTCTTCTCTGTATTAGTGGAAAACAAGATTTATTCACTAATTGCATTTATATTTCACCTTTTGTCTGGAGCTCAGGATGACATTCTTCCTCATTTTAACCCTACAAGAATTATACTGGGCTGAAAAAGAAGAGAATTGGGACAAACAGAAAGTTCTCACAATGAAGGGACGTTAACAATGAAACCCTGCATAGATATCAGAAACATTCATTAAAATTATGGATGAAAAACCTAGATCTTGGGGTGAAATTTCTTAATTATATCAAATTATTTCTTTTAAAGTTGACAGAAAGGAAAAGGCAGAGAAAAAAGTTTAACAGTAATCCACACACTGATGAAAAAGAATGAAAGTGGTAAATCTGATTCATTATAAACATTAATCACAAGTAGTCCCTGACTTACAACCAATCACTTATGACTGGTCAAAGTTATGATGGACCCCCCAAAAAAACTACTAATGACCCAATTTTGGTTTCCAACAGCTGCATACATTCCACAGGCACATGATCACATTTTGGGTGCCTAGCAATTGGCTCAATTTTACATTTTTTTTAGCAAAAAAACAATCATAACATCACATAAATAATCCTGGCATCTGCTTAATAACTATGGCATTTACTTAATGACTGGCACAAAAAAAATCATAAAACTGAGTCTGGTGACGTGAGCACTTTGGCTTATGACCATCTTAGCTAAGAATGGAAATTCCAGACTCTATTACAGTTGTAAGTTGAAAACTACCTGTGATGAACATAGATCCCTAACAACATAATACACCGATGACTCTGCTGGGAATCACCGTATAAATTTAACATATTATTATTATTATCTAAGCTGATGTGAGTTGACAAGGAAAGGGAGCTCTAAAGAAGGAATATGTTTATTTGAAAGAGCCCTGAACAAAACAAGCTTCACTACTAAATAGAAAAGGCGATGAAAAGAAATTTGCTTCTAAGTTCTTGCTATGGGAAGGATTGTATAGCCTATATGTGTCCTTTGTTTGAATTATAGCAGTCCATCATAGTTTTAAGCATTCTTGCGAGAGCTTCCATCCATCACAAAACTGATCCTTATTTCTTAACCTATTCCTTTATATGTAACTTAATCAATGTTGATGCATCTAGCAAGAGTTTGTTTAGAAATATCAGTAAATAACCTAGGTAATATACTTACATTAGTAAGATGTATCACTCCTTTAGATGTAACAGAACAGCCCATAAACCCAACATACTGTAACTCGGGACAATGCTCAGCAAATGCTTTAACAGACTGATCAGTTACCTAAATAAAGAGAGAAAAGAAGTTTACATTGTTCTGAATTCTTAAATATTCAGAGTCCAAGAAAACATTCTAAGGAAACGCATGATGGCTTGCAGGATCTTTTTTTAACTATAACAGCATTAAAAATGGATCTTAAAGACATTTGGGTAACAAAGAACAAGATTGAAAAATATTTCCTTTTCAATAAATATAAATAAAATATACAGAATCAAAATAGAAAAATTGGTTGTACTTGTAAGGATTATGAAATAAAAATAAATTCTCCATTTTTATTGAAGCCTAAACTAGTAACCAGAAGTTACTAATCTCTTTCAAAGCTAGCAGAACACCAGAACACACTTAAAATACCCAAACATTCAATGTTTTTGGAATCCAAAATATACCTAAGGCAGTACACATACATCTTCAGTTAATTTTGAGAAAGGATAAGCAGTCAAAGCTCTTGCAGGCAAACTAGATGAATTTGCTTGCTTTTGGGTGTATCTTTGGTGATAAACTATTTTGGTAGTATCTTGTATAGAATTAGGGAGTGTTTTGAGCTTGTGAAACCCATGGAAATATAAAAGGTTCTCTTTAGCTTGAACTCTGCTACCCATGAGCTTGATCCATGCAGTTCCTTACTCCTTTGGTGAGCAGGCAGGGTGTAAATAGCTGGATAAGGGAAATTATTAATGCTTCTGCCTGCTTTGAGACAGCAGCATAACCTCTCCTCTCTCAAGCCTTTCCTGGACCTAATCCTTTTTGAAAATGTTTCTAATATCTAATATTTCACTTTTAGAAAAAACAGTATATTCTAATCCTGTCAGAATTTTAGTATTGGTCAGTCAATGATTTTTAATAGGACCTCAGGGGAGTATGACTCTTCTTCTGTTAGATTTCTCAGTGTTCATTATTAAGGCCATGGTATTATTCTGGACTGCCTTAAAAAGTTTGTGAGCTGGAGTTGCTGTTACAATCAGTGGTCATGTGAGGGGAGCACATGAGTCCGTGGAAATTCCAGTGGAGGAGGTCCCACTTGTTCAGTATTCTGTCCAGAGGTGGTATTCAGCAGGTTCTGGAGAACCGGTAGTGGAAATTTTAAGTAATTCAGAGAACCGGTGATTGGCCCCGCCCCCACCTATTCTCTGCCTCCTGAGTCCCATCTGATCAGCTGGGTCTTCTTTTGTTGCCCTGCACAGGAGAACGGAGCTGGAAAGCAGGTTAGTGGGGTGGGGAGGGAATGGAATTTTGCAGTAACCTTCCCCCAGGAAAGGGGAGGGAATGGGGATTTTGTAGTAACCTTCCCCTGGAGTGGGGTGGAAATGGAGATATTGCAGTATCCTTCCCCTGGAGTAGGATGGGAATGGAGATTTTACAGTATCCTTCTCCTGCCACACCCACCAAACCATGTCACGCCCACCAAGCCACGCCTACAGAACCTGTAGTAAAAAAATTTGAATCCCACCACTGATTCTGTCCCATGTTTTTTACTTATACATGAATTATCCATGAAACATCATCTAACAATTTGCCATTGTTATACATTGTCACCCTCTGACTAACTGGAGATGCTGCAAAATTAATGGTTGTTATTGTGATTAACTGGAGAGGCACATCAAGTTCAGAGTAACTGATTGCAAGACGATATTGCTAGTATTCAGTAAACATATTATGATAGCTGTTCTTCAGAATTTATACCTCCAAAAGTAGTAATGACAGTTTTGATTCTATTGATATTTATAATCAAGCTCTGATCACCTGATTGGACCACTGTATTGTGCTGTACCCATGGTTACCTTTGGAGATTACTCAGAATTGACAGCTGATACACAACCCAGAATTCCAATATAGGTAGTTCTTGGCTTTTAACCACAGTTGGGACCACAATTTGGTCATAAGTTATTGTGAACATGTATCTAGGTACCCATGTGACTGCTTTGCTTAATAACCACAATTCTAGTACTCCAATTGTTTTAGGCTTCCCACCCTTTCCAAATCATGTTAAGTTTCCAAACTTCAGGCTTTGGGAGCCCTGCATGACTTGAGATGCCTTCAGAGGCTCTGGGCAAACTCTTGAGGAGATCCCAAAGACTGCAGTAACAGGCTTCAGGAAATAAAGCCTAGTGTGACTGGGAGCAGTCTTGGATCAGTTCCATAGGATCGGTTGGATCTCTGTACATCAGAAGAAAAACATCTGCAGAAATGCAGCGCATGATAAATTCTCAGGAGCTCTGTATGGTGGGGCAACTACCAACCATTCCCAAGGCTCATGTGCCTTGAAGAACAGTGCAAGACATTATTTGTGAGTGGCAATAGCAGAGCTAAAATTGATGTAGAGGGCTTGGGGGAGCAGCTGCAACAGTCATAACTTCAGGCAGGGTTCGAAACTTCCTTCATTTACTTGGTGAATAGTACTGAAGTTCTTAAAAGAGACATTTAATGACACAAATTTTCCATATCTATAAAGATCATCACCAGGTAGAGAAAGGTTTTTCCTATGATATTCTATACAAAAGAAAGTTGGATTTTGAAGAAGAAAAAGAGTATTGATAGTTTTTGAACTTTGGTATTAGATGGGATTCTTGAAAATAATGCGGATAGTCAAGAAAACAAACAGAATCATACAATAAATTAATCTAGCTTTTTCACTTGCAATACATACTGAAAAATAAAATAAAATTGCATTTACTTAATTGCCCATCTTTTTTCAGTTATATCACAATTATACCACAAGACCACCTTCAGTGTTGACCAGTAACAAGCATAACCACCCACTATAGTATCAAGTAAGTTTTGGAAAGAGACACACAAAAAGCAACATGGCAACTAGGGCTTTAAATGTGACCCCACATCCCTTTTGTTGACCAAAAACAAATACTTTTTATTTAAAAAAAATACAAAAGTTGGCCTTTAGCAAAGCAAAGCAAAGCAAAGCAAAGCAAAGCAAAGCAAAGCATCTAGAATCATATTTATTGTCTTTGTTCCCATAAAAAGTAAAGAACATTTTATTTTAGAGACCCACAATTCGGAAAATTGTATTTTGTGAGTAACCATGACCACTACCAGGAACTATTTTGTGAATAGGAATCTCTCCCAAAGTGACCATTTTGTGAGTGTATTTATCACGATATGCTCCCAAATTCTAAATATATTCTCAGCTCAAAAGGATTGCCTATTCTTAGCTTACCTGATATACCTGAATGTCAATAAAAGAATTTGTTACATTTTTTTCTTTGTCAATTCTTGGAAATACATTTTCTTTAATCTGATTGTATTGATCTTTATAATAAAATTATCCATTTAGTTTAATTTTTTAAAGTATAGCATTTGGGCATTTCTATAATTATTTTTATTTATTTATTAAATGTATTTATTTATTTTTTAATAATTTTTTAAAATAAATACATTGAATAAATAAGATGGGCAAATTTATTGGCTGCCCATCTTACTGTAAGGTAAGTTACTTGGGTAGCTTACAATATTAATACAATAATCTTGTATATTTTCTTAATTAAACATGGTAGAAATTTCAGCTTTTCAAAGCCTCCTACTAGTATCAAATATAATTTTGTACAATTGGAGCTCTTGGGCTAATTTTTTTCAGACTAACCAGAAATAAACCTATAAACTGTAAATATTAGTTCCTTCAGTAAATAAAAATAGTCTAAAAGTCTCCTCAGTCAGCATTTGCAGTCTCCATGTCAGCATTTCTTACCACTTTAATATAAAAAATTAATGTATTTTCACAGCCCAAGTACTTCATATAGCAATGGATATTTTAACTCTGTACTGTCAAGTAAAATACCAGGGGATTTACTAGATTTTCGATGTATCATCTTTTTATCTCCTAAATGTAATTTGGAAACTTCCAACTGACAATATAATTTTTAAAACTTCAAATTTTTTTAATGAAGTGAGACTGTTATGAAAGAACAGGTAACTCTCTGCAAGGTGCTTAATGCTGAAGTAATTATTTTAAAATTTGGCTACAACTTTTCATTCTACTGGTTTCACTATCTTTCCAGTGTTTCGCATTTGAAAATATTTACTTGTTATCTTGGTAAAGGCAGCTGGTGACTTCACAAAAAAATAGTTTCAGTACTCTCTAGAACAGTGGTTCCCAAACTTTTTCAGTCCACCACCCCCTTGGTGCTACAAAATCATCCTCAATGCCCCCCACCCGGGGCGGGATTCAAATTTCTGTGGGTGTGGCCTAATTTGAGGGTGTGGTAACATGATTGGGTGGGCATGGCTTGCTGGTCACATGACTGGGTGGGCATGGCTTGCTGGTCACGTGACTGGTGGCATGGCTTGCTGGTCATGTGGCTGGGTGAGCATGGTTTGGTGACTGGCAAACCAAATACAAGTGGTCCTCACTTAATGGCTGGTTGTTTAGCAAGTGTTCTAATTTATGACTGACCTCCCCAGAACTACTTGACCTGTTTTTGGAAGTTTGACAGCCATGCACACACATATACACATACTCCCTTCCAACATTGCTGGAGCAGGTCATTGGACTAGAATTGGCAAAGCATCTCTGATTAGATTCTAGTAGTGAATAAAATCTAATCAGAGATGCTTTGCCGATTCTTGTTGATTTGTTTTATTTGTATTTCTTTATTTTATATTGCTGAATTGCATTGACATGTGTGTCCCTTCTTGTGCACAACCCAGAAGCTTTTGTGATTCTTTGCAGCAAAAATTACCGACCTCTGGCTTTGCTCTACTTTTCAAACGTGCTGGCACTGCCACGTTCTAGGTGCCAGCCCCGCAGGTCCACCCCATTGAGCCTGCTGCACTGGAGGGACCTGCCCAAGCAAGTCCGAGTGGAGCGGTGCACCAAATTAATGGGGTGAGCCTGGGAGAGGGAAAGAGGGAGAGAGAAAAGAGAGAAAGAGAGAAGGAAGAAAAGAAAGAGAAAAGGGAAAGAAAAAGGGATAAAGAAAGGGGGCATGGAGGGGGGAGGGGCAGAGAGGGAGAGGGAGTGGGAGGGAGAGAGAGAGAGAGACCTGATGCATCAG